TACCTTATGTGAGAACATTTCTTGAATAAATTATATAACTGATTTTTATTTTAATAGTAAAGATTCTTCAGCTATAAATATCACAATTATGGTTAATGAAAAAGTGTTACTATACTTTATATCAAGGGTGTCCGGGTGGCGCAGTAGAGAGTTTGCTCTATAGTCGTAGAGTAGGGGTTAAAACTTGTCGTGGGTCTGAATCCCACTGCAGGACGTAGGGACCGTTATTTCGAATGAGTCCTTAAACAGCAAGTGATAAATACAAGTAAAATGTTTTCAAAAGGACGTTATACAAATAAACAATCAATCTAATTTATATTTATGATGTGCTGGAATGTTTGGTCCTAGTGTCTGTAATTTCACTTTCATTACATTTTAACAAAAGAACCTGATACATTGCTTCACGATATCTCCCTAATTCAGTTTAATTGTTAAAAAAAGTCAGCTATACTTTACGATAAAAGAACATTATAGGGAGTTTTCTGTGCATGTTTCAATCCTTAATAAAATATTTTGATTACGTTATTTACTTATGATTGCTAAGAAATTAGATTTAAAATACAATATATAAGACTCAAACGTAAAGTAAATTTCTGTAATGTTTTTCATAAAAAGATAATTATTTAGACCTCAAAAAATGCACAAAAATTAGAAGCAAAATGATAAAAAATTAGTGGACCTATTTATAGTTTGGCTAGTTTCGATTCAATGACACACTGTCCAAAAAACTATTTTTTGTATTTATGTAGTCTGTGTTCCCATAAGGATTGTTTTTAGCATTAAGTTTGAGAATATCTCTAGTCCTATCGTAAGATAATGTACATAGAGATAGTCGTGCTATGTGTGCAAAATAAGTATTTTATAACATATATTTTTTTTAATATTAAGTAATTTATGTTGAAAACATTATAACGAGAGAGGTTCCCGAAAAAGGGGGAAACTTCTGAGATAAGGTGGTGCATAACATGCTTAATGGCTGTTAATTGTATAAAAGAGAAAGTAAGTAAATGTTTCAAGATAAATTATCAACTACGAAAATAAAAAGAGCTTAATCAATTTGCATGTAACTTATTTTTGGTTTTTGTTGCGCTTTTGCTCAGAAACAGTATCTTTTTTTCTTAAATATGCATTCAAAGTCTAAAATATGCATGTTGAAAAAAGTTCTTGGGGTTAATTTTTTCAATGAAAAAGAAGCGTGATCATCTCAAATAACTAAATGTGTAGAAAGAATGTCTAACAAAAATACATTGTCTTCATAAAGCCATTTTGTGTCTCGAATTTCTGGAAAGTTTCACGAGACTTTTAGATTTCAAAATATCCTTGAATGATGTGTTAAATGCTGATACGGTGACACTTTTTTTTTTTACAGTTTATTCTTTTGTTTAAAAAATAAACTCTGTTTGTTTATCAAGCATTTAATAATATTGCTTCTTGTATGTGACGAGAAAATTTACATCCTAAGTGACTCGTTATGATGTCTGTAAAACTCTTGCGTCATTAAACATGCATCTCATTAATTGAAAATGGGACGTTTAAATACTGCACAATATACAATACAAAAAGCTACGAACGTATACAATTACGTTATTAATATCTTAATGACCACGTTTCATTATGAATATCTAAATGACCGCGCTTTCTTTAATAGTGTCATAATATCGCCTTGGGAGTCTTTCGTACAAAATATAATTAGATGGAAAAGCTGCCGTTAGTTATTATCATTACTGTTTATCCATCAGTAAATTAGTGATCTACATTGATGACGCATTGTGAAAACTTTAACCATTCTAAGTCTGTCACGTCAGTACTAGATTAAGTTAAATTAATAAGGTCATGGTAAATATATTTACTTCTTTTTTTACAATAATGCTAATTTGTAATTTATTGTTACACAAAATAGAGTATTATGAATAACTCAAAAGTACTTTATGTCCATTACCTTACCACTTTATCACGATAATTCAAATTAAGTATTAATTTCTATTGGAAACTTCAAAAGGCGAGTTAATTAAACTGAAATGAAAAAAAAAATTAATATTTTCTCTCTAAAATCTAGTTTTATATCGCTTTTAATACATAGCAAAGAAAAAGTTAACAAAGTTTATCTTTTATGCTTTCCATATGTTAATAAAGCAAATTAAAAACTGAGTTTCCCGCAGCTCTGTTATTATTCAGATTCAATGAAGAAACAAGTATGAGTATTGTTGTATATATGTCATTTATTGATGACATAAATGAAACACATGAAATTTGGGAGATCCTATGACTCTCTACAATTAGTATCTACACCATGTTATGGATAATATTACAACATGATTACATCCCATCTACAATATAAAAATATGTTTATCCAACCTAAAATTAAAAATAATAATAATAAAAATATATTCTTGCTTTTCTTTAATTTCTAAGAAAAGAGAGTTTTGAATATATATCATTTATTAAACGGATTGTGGAAAATACAATTTTAATGATATCTTATTTCAATTTTAAAGGACAGGGACATGGGCGTTCTTAAGATTCATTATCTATTTGTGCTTTTAAGTTTTTAACAGTTTTAATAGCTTATAATCATAACATAAAGATTGGCATTAAAAGGATAATGCATATTTCAGAACAGATTTATCTCAGACGAAGGTTTGTCCTAAATGTCTGCTAAATCTAAACGTGAAAAAAATTACACCCACCTCTTCATAAAATAAAATTTTAAAAGGAGGTTATAGATGAATAATAATATTATTATTATTATATTATTATTATTATTATTTATCTATAACCCCCTTTAAAAATTTTGAAATATATTTAGATAGTAACAGATAATTTGCAAAACTTTTATGAGAGAAAAAATATAATATAAATTAGATTTTATTTTAGAATAATAATTGTAAGAGGGTATGTCGTTAAAGGGGTGTTGTGTATGATTATTTTTTCTTAATAGGAAATTTTTCTATCACATTTTTTTTTTTACATAATGGCATCCTCAGATGTTAAACATAAAACTCGTTTTGAAGATACAAAATAAGTTTTCATCAGCCTTTTAAATCTTATTTATGATAGGTCAATCATCAATGATATAGCACATTCTTTTCCAAGAATTATCTGATTTTCATAGTTATTTATCAAAATAGGTAGTATTAACCACTTTAAACGAATTTGAGCAAAAACTGATTATTCAATTGATGGTCATGAGTTTCACATCTTTAAGGAGATATTCATAATACGGTAAGTGATTGGTTTGCGGTAGAAGTTTGATTTTTTTCAAGTTTGCCAGATTTCTCTGAGATATAGTTTATAATATACGAGCAAATCTAAAGTCGTTGTGAGTCCAGCATATTTTATGTTGTTGACCTGTTTTTTCCAGTCCACAAAGCACAAAGGCAGTTACATCTTTTTACATGATGGTAATTGTGACGTCTGGGCTTAGAAATTGTGTCACATTACAAAGCCTGTACAGTGAAATGCACTCAGGACCATAGAACAGTGAGGGATCTTTTGTGCAAGCTTCTACTGTGATATGGAAATTCTGTTTATACCGTCTCCTCTGAAAAGCTGGCCACATCCCACAATGGGATACGAACCCGCGGCGTAAGGAACAACTGTACAAAAATTTGAACTTTTCAATTAAAATTTACAAATTATAATTAAAAAGTTCAAATTTTTGTAGAGGACAACTCCTATCTCCGCGACTCTAGCTGGAGCAAACGTTCTGATTTTTGCGTCACGCATGCGAAATACATGTATCGTATAAAGTACAAGTAATTTGTTAACATGCACATCTTCTTACATTTTTCCTCAGAGAGAGAGAGAGAGAGAGTTTGCCTCTCATTTTACTTACATTTAAATGAGTTATAGATTATGGTGGCCAGCATGGCTTCAGAGGTTAACTATAAAAGTTCCGTCGACGTCGAATAGAGAAAAACTCTTGCTTTTAGTCTTGCGTCAGTGTTTTCCGAATCTTAAAAAAGCTCATTTGAAACTTTTGTACATAAAATATATGACCCTTCCTTAGAAATCTAACTTCCTAATTTTGTCCCCTGTACGTAAGTTTTTTTTTTTAAATCATAAATATATACTACCATGTGCACCTATACAACTAATTCAATAAAACCGCTACATTGCTGTACCTATATGTGATATTTGGCTGTGAGTTGCAAACATGCAAAGTTAGTAAGTTAATATGAAAGATCGTGTCAATACACAGTGTATGCTGGCGTGTTATTTCTAAGGTTAACAAGATGAGATTAAGCATGTCTTTCTTTTTTGTTTTTTTGCATGCAACTTATTAATTACAACATGGAAGTTTCTGCTATCAACAAAAAGGTCTTAAACATGTAGTAAACTTAAGCAATATCAATATTCTTCTTTGCAAAATTTGTATATGACAACTGACATCTAATTGAATCTAAATTTTGTAAAAGATGGTAAATAATTAAGTCCATATCATGGGAAAGAATTTTTTTTTATAATTTCTAAAGAGGATCCCTATCATAACCTAATCGAACTCAAGACGATTAACTTTAGTTGTCAATCATAATATTGATAAAGTTAGGTCTATTTTTAGTATTTTTTTTGCCATAAACCATAATTACAACGCATGTCTAACTTTATCATTCCAACAAATGCATTGCTCAATCTAAAAAAAAAAATAATACAGAGAAAACAATCAAAATTGCAAAATGAAAAATTTTACCTGAATATCTCTAGAATAATATTTTCCTATAGACCTGAAACAAAAATCAAAGATGTCGTAAAGTTCAGAAGTTGTCATGACATCGTAAATCTTAATCAAATTAATGTGTGGGTTTATTAATAAACTCTTTAAACAGGTTAAATTCTTATTCTAATTGTAATCAGTTCTTCTTATATGAAATATGTTTTCATTATTCATATCTGATTTAGTGATTCTTAGTAATTAACAGTCATATCATAAAATTCAAATCATAATTTAAATAATTGATTGATTGTTTTCAGAGGGAATTAGTAAGCGGATGGTTAACAGTCTGTCAAACTAGGCGTTATACAGAGGTTTTCCATTCACGCCAATCAGCGCTCTCCGCACGTAGGCCAGGTGTATAAAAGGATAATATACCTGGAAAGAGAGACACTGCCTCCGGTGATACAAGAATCCAAGGTGCGTTGCCTAAAAATCTCATCTTTCTTAGCTCTATATGCCAGAATTTAATGGGGGCTACTTATTAATTTGATAAATGATGGTTTTATGATCTTGGATTCAGAGAAATGAAACACTTTTATTATTAAAGCAGGTTTGGGGGTAAAAGAAATAATTTTTTATGAGATTGTAAGCAGGAAGGGATTTTTTTTCCAGAAGCGTTTGATAGCATTAATATATAAAAAAAATTTCACTTGGACCCGTTCTAGATATTGAAAATTTTAAAGAAAAATAAATAGTTTTGGATAAACTGTCAATCAAAAAGCATAATTAAAACAATACAAGGAATAAAACTAAAAAATTGTTTTGTTATTTAGATGCGGAAAGGACAAACAAACCTCATCGTCTGCTTCTTAGCAGCAGTTGTCTTGCCGCTATCGTTGGGATTAATTGAAGAATTAAACACACCACGAGACATCTTGGAATGCTTGACATACAAATCTCAGAATGCTTCCATTGGAGAAGTATCCGGGCGAAGTATTCAAGATTTCTGCATCCGGAAATTTACCTTGGAGACTCAAAGCGGAAAAGAGAACTTTGCTCAGAACATCAGCACAGAAGGAGTCCAATATCTGAAATCTCTGTTTCGACAATTGGAATCTGAAGTACACGACCAAAAGCGCGGGAAAAGACAGGCTGGAACTTGGAGAGTGAGAAGAGAAATCCGGACTCTCTCTGACGCTCAAAGAAACAGTGTTTTCCAATGCTTCAGAAGACTCAAGAACGATTACGTAAGAATAAGTTTTCATTTATGTTTATTGGCTTTATAAATGACTTAAAATTCTTTTTCAAAAATTAGGTTTATTTTTTTCTAATTCATTATTCCGGTCATCTCTCTAAGAACAATTGTATAAAGATAAATGAATGAGCTTCTATGATTGATGTAAATGTTGACATGCTTTAGCAACTTCTTTTGATCATGTAATTGATTACAAACTTTAATTGATTTCAAAAGAAGGTAAAACAATTAATAGATTCAGAAACCACATATTTACATATTTACCTCATCAATCTAAGCATAGATGTAAAACAGGCACACCTGATTACTCATTTTAACATAATTGAAAAAAGGTCCAGTGGCTCATTAAAACAATACAATCCTTTTATCAATAAATGTTTATTAACAATTGGGATTTTCTGTGGCTTTTTGAAATGAATACCTACACAAAAAGGTCGAAAATTTGTCTTTAGACTTTACCTTATTGCTATTATTACTTTATCAAGTCTGTTGACCGGAGAATGAGTACATATGACATGATTGCCTCCCTACACTCCGGACAGGCCGCAAGACTGATGCACAACGGACCTGGATTCCTTCCTCGTCATATGGTTTACGTACTTGTGTAAGTTTACAATTAAAAAAAAATTACAGTTAGAACATAGTCCTATATGATGAAACACGAACTAAAATATACATACCTCTAAGTCATGAAATAAAATATATAATATAGGATGGAGACAGCATGCCGTATCCCCATGCCCTACTGGGATATGACCACAGACAGTGAAATGATGGATCCTACTCAATCTATTGTCTGGTCTGACCTCTTTTTCGGTCCAGGAAACGGCCCAGTTCTGTCAGGACCTTTTGGTCGATTTAGGACACCCACTGGAACCCCAATCATCAGAAACATAGGCTCAGGTAACTAAACAAGTTAGCTTTCTATTTCATATGATATGTAAAACTGAGATAACAGTGCAAAGGGTAACCGATATCATTTTTTCTAATTCCTTGGTTTGAAATGTGTTTTAAATTTCCTTAGGTGGAGCATCTTTGGCTAGAAAAGCTGGTATTAGAGCCTTGTTGTCCAGGAGACGAACATTCCAAATTACCGAGCCCCAGCCCGCTCAGAGTATCTTCTCCATTGAAAATCACCACAACGGTGTCCACAACTGGATCGACGGTTACATGTCCGGCCTGAACACCGCTTCCTGGGACCCTGTCTTCTGGTTCATCCACTCATTTTTCCAGCTTCTGTGGGTTGCTTTCAGAAATGGACAAAGAGCCAGCGGTATTAATCCTGAAAGAGATTACCCAAGAGGGGTTCGAGTTCCAGCTGGTCATGAGTTCTACCAGAGAATGAATTTCATGCCCTTCATGCGACGAATGACAAATCTGGAAGGTTTCTCTAGCAGATATGACCGTATTGTGCAGTATGCCCCCATGCCACGATGCTCAGACGCCTGTGGTGGAGGCCCTTATTTTGTTTGTTTACGGGGAGTGTGTGTTTCAAGATCTAGAGGAAGACAACCTTTTAGGTTTAGAGGAAAACGAAGCATAAATACTCAAGAGAGTCAGTTGGCTGATGAAAACGTTAACCCAAACACAACCAACATTATTCAATCTAATGAAGCTGCCTTGTCAACACTTAACAAACCATACCAAAACACATTCATGGTCAACGGAAAAGTAGATGAAGACGCTTGGGCTTACATTCCAATCAGAGTTTTGTACGAAAGGCCAAGGGGATTCAACTTCCATACTTCATCACCAAGAACTACAAAAAGAGATATGTATGACCCAGAGAACTTTAAGAAGGAGGCAAAGAGAATAGGACTTCAAAATCAGGTCCAGTATAAACAACAGTGTGATCCATCTGGGTCAGGAGCAGGGAAGGTATTTGTGCAATCCAGTGGACTCAATTATGCAGGCACATACAAAGATTACGCAATCGTTGATGAAAGGCAACCGGTGACGTCAGCAATGACATATATTGGATTCAAAAAACCTTTTGACTCCGACTCAGAACTTATATTAACAGCTTATGACACTTGCGGGCGCATTTGTCGGCCTGCCTGTCCTGTATACAATCATAATCGTGAAACCTACAAAGCTTGCTCTGGGAGTTTCCGGATTTCCTCAAGGGCACCTCTAATGTTTAGTTCGACCTATGGAAGCGCAGTGTCAAATACATGGAATGTTAGGGAAGGAATGGAACCCGGATGTCAGAGTAAATCCTTGCCTATAACATTTGTATGTGACCATCAAAACTCATGGCCTTGGGAATCAAAACTGTGATAAAATAAGGGTAATATAAATCCTCATGCTAATCCTTTAAATGGACCTTAGAGAATATTGTTTATTTTATTTATATTTAAGAAAAAATGTTATTATTTTTAGAAAAAAGTTTTAAATGTTGTGATCTCAGGTTAGACAATTAATTTCAAAATGTTTAATTACACTCAAACGATCGCGAAACACTTGTTTTAATTCACATCAGAGTAGAGAAGAAGAAAAGAAGAAAGAGGAGAAAAACAACCTTAAAGATTTAATGAAAAGACCTACCAAAACACAAACACACGCATAGAGTATTTTCATCCCTCCATTCATGTATTTGATTGTGTAAGTCTTTCATTCATTGTATAATTTATTTGTTTGTGTGAATGCATGATCTGAATGTACTGAGGCAGTGTACTTGTATGTTATGTAAAAGATAATGAAAATAAAACAGAAAACCCGAAAATTATGGTTTTATATTCTTCTCCCGATTTCGTAGTAGCATTAAAGAAATTGTAAGAACCTTATTGTATAGCTGCAGAACTGTAGCTCTCTGCTTGAGAAAATTTGGACAGATAAAGCAGAGAGCTACAAATCCAAGCGTTGTAAAAACATTCGATTTAAGGCGCCGAGTTTTTGTCGCTTACCTCGAGTATTATTTCTGGTATTTTAGGCTTTCCTTCCCTTTTAGAACGGTATCAGATAATTACTGGTATGGTTATTTACTTCTGTTATTGATTCTTTATTTACCTTTCAATACTCCGAAACAGTCCTTTATGGTTTTGGAATTTCGGTTTTTGAAAAAATCGCATTTTGACATCCGTTACCAAAGACAGCCTGTTGGAATTGTTGAAATCTGCGGTGTAAATCGAAGAATTTTACAACGCTTGGATCTGTAGGTCTCTGCTTTATCTGTCCGAATTTTCTCGAGCAGAGAGCTACAGTTCTGCAACTATTTATCGCAAATCATATACCTGCATGTACTCTTTACAAAAATAAACTCTTTTACGACGCTTCTTATGTGTGCAGACAAGTTCTATTTTTTCCCTTTTTAGTGATTTGTTATTGTATTTCAAAGCAGAAGGTATTCAGAATTTCATGTAAAAAAATAGTCTCTTGTCGTACCCTTTAACTGAAATATTTACTTCACCGACTTTTTTTTTATCAATTGAAAATATATTTCTTTCCTATTTATACAATGCTTTGAAGAATTCTACTGAACAGAATCTGACACACCAACTTCATAATTGCATGTTTTTTAAAAGATAAACATTAATGACCAAAAAAAAAACAAAAACAAAAAACAATTTAAAGTAAATTGATGGTACAATGTCCTAAGCGAGGAGAAACTCTCTCAAAGGAGTGTTGATAATACAAAGGTAATAACCTCGTTTTAAGAATACATAGATGTTTTTTGTGAAAACTGACGCCCCCTATGGCATGTAAAACGTTACAACATTTGACCTTTTCCAAATTATATTGTATAATTTTTTATATATGTGTTGTAAAATTTTCCATAATTATGGCCTACGTTAAAGTTTGACAAATATTTGTTAAACTGGTTCAAACTCCAAGGTCAGAGGTCAAATGTGGTGTTTCCCAAAATGGCCATATCACAAGAAAAGCACCTGTGAAATATGAAAGCCGTAGACCCATCCACCCAACAATTATGGGCAAGGTTGAAGTTTTTGCGGACAAACTGACAGGCGGACGAACAGGGCAAAACTACGGGGGTATAAAAACCTTGTTCGCAAATACGACCTCTCTTTAGGCGAACTTACTGCAGATGTGATCAGTCGACAAGGATGCTAATGTTTATCAAGTTTTTTCCATAACATCTCATTTTTCAACTTTTGATATGTTTTTGGGATTCATTTGTTTAGTTCTCATTTGTATTTTTGAGCTGTTTGTTAAATAAACATCGAATAGCTTAACAATTCACAAATACTTATCCTTAACTATTCACCGGAATTCAGTAAAATTTCCTTTATTGGAACAAGCAAGGAATTCATTTATGCGAAACAAAGGCTTTGTTGGCTGCTGAAAATGGAAGAAACAAACAAACAAGCAATATTAATTGTAGATATAGTGTCGACGGCCTAACTTTATGATGGAAACAAGAATTATTTGTTTTTAGCTGAAGTGAATATATTTGTACTTTACAGTCACTTTACCAGCATGTGTTTTTAAATCTTAAAACCAACAAAGTAGAGGAGGGATTCTTCTTATATTTAAAAATCAATGACATGTTCATAAATTCAAGAAGACAATAATCACCAAATAATGGTATCCGTCATAAGAAACTGTTTTATATAAGAAGGCAGGTCAGGTCAAAATATCTTCCGTGGGCATTAAGAATAAAACAATTACTGTTGCCAATCATGTGATGGCTACTTTTATTTCAAGAGATTGAATGTTTTCCATTTTCTTAAAAGAATATTATAATACAGGGTTCATCAGATGATACCTACGGAATTGAGATTGACAAACTATTTCAACCAAAATGGATATTGGCTTATTCGAATTTTCTCTGTTTTCCTATATATATTATTTTGATATATTGGTCCGTGTAACACTTAACAATTCAAATTTGTACATTGATTTTTTGAGTTTAAGAATGTTAATATAATACTTCAAATTTCTAAATTTCAAGAACTCAAAACTGATTTCGTATATTGAAATAGATATTTTAGTTAAAAAATCTTCCAAACAGGTTTACAATTTTAATATTTTAAATTTTTACCTTAAAAATTCATTTTAAACTTTTGCGCTTTTAATCTACTGTTTGTTTAGAAAGTTTACGCTTAACAATCTAAAGTTTAGTAACATTTTTCGTCTTTCAACTTTTAAAATGTACTTCAAACTTCTAAATCTCAACTTTCAAAACGTTTAGGGTCTTTTTTTAAATTTGGCAATCTAATTAAAATTAGATCTTTGATCCGCTCCAATTTTATTTGCTCCACAAAGTAGCGATCAAACTGGAGCGGATCAAAGTTCTAATTTTAATTAGATTGGAAATTTAGTATTTTGATTCAAACATTCAAATTTCATATTTTGATATTCAAAGTAAAACTGAAAACTCGAAGTTTTTACTTTGTTTTTTTAGTATTTTACTTTGAATATCAAAATATCAAATTTCTAAACCCGATTTGGATTTTGAATGTCAGTTCAATATTTCAACTATCTAAAAGCTCTTTTTGCTTGACCAAAAGAGTTTTGAAATAGTTTAAAAATTCAAACCAGGCTTGGAATTTGATATTTGGGATATTTGAAATACCAAAGTCCCAAAATGTAAAAAGTGTTTTAGAATATCTAAAATTTGAGTGTTTGAATCAAAGTTCTAAATTTTGAAAACATTTCAAAGTTGAATTTCAGAAGTTTGAAGTAAATTTTAAATAATCAACAGACGAAATATATTACTAAACTATAGATTGTCAAGTGTAAACTTTTATGAACAAACGGTATATTAAATACTAACACTTTTAGAATCGTTTTTTGAAAATTTGAAATTTGAAAATCTGAACATTTAAGGTAAAATTCGAAATTATTAAAATTTCAAAACCTGTTCGGAAATTTGAAAATTTAGATTTTTGAACTAAAATATTAAATCTCAACATACCAAAATCAGTACGAGTTTATGAAACTTGTACTAATATACCCGGTATTAACATTCTAACACTCAGAATCATAATTTTCATGTGTTACACAGACCTACATATTTTTATATGCTTCGTATGTTTAAATTTTTCCTATATTCACAATACCTATCAATGGATTTTTTTGGCTCAAATCTCTACTCTGATTGAAAGTATTAATAAGCTTCTAAATGCTGACATAATTGCAGTGTATTTTGAAAATTATGTTTATTTGATGTATTTTAAAACTTTTGTCCCTTTAGATTAATTTTACTTACATTTGACCTTTTCTAAGACATTGATTGTGTAAAAATTTTCACTAAATTCATTATTCTATAGTAAACTTTGAGAAGCAGAAATTAAGATATTTTCATGATCATTCAGGTCTTGTTCTATTGATTGACTTTGAGAAAGCATTTGATTCTATTTCTTGGAGATTTATTTTTAAAGTACTCAGATTTTTTAATTTTGGTGAGAATTTTTTAAAATGGATAAAGATTTTGTTTAGAGAACCTAAGTTATGTGTTATTCAAAATGGTATTTTTTCTGAATTTTTCCAAATGGGACGAGTTTGTAGGCAAGGTGACCCAATTTCACCTTACTTGTTCCTACTATGTGCAGAAATAATGGGAATTATGATTAGAAATAATAAATTAATAAAGGGCATTGTTATTGAAGATAAAGAATATAAACTACTACAATATGCTGATGATACAGTTTTATTAATGGATGGTTCAGAAGACTCAATTAGATCAGCTTTGTCTTTAGTCAATCAGTATTCCAAATTCTCTGGACTGAAGCCAAATTATGATAAAACTCAATGTATTAGGATTGGATCTACTGTTCATACTGATGATAACTTGTGTGATAAATATCAAAACTTGATGTGGTCACAGGAACCATTTACAGTGTTAGGTATAGCATACTGTGTAGATCTAGACACAAACACTATGTTTGATTTGAATTTTTTGCCAAAGATTGACTCTGTCAAAAAGCTTATATCATCATGGTCTAGAAGACATTTATCAACGGCAGGTCGTATAACAGTAGTAAAAACCTTGCTTTTACCTAAATTTAGTCACTTATTAATTAGTTTACCGAGCCCTTCTAAAGAAAAACTCAAAGAAATTGAAGCTATATTTTTTCATTATATCTGGAAAACCAAAACGGCTAGGGTGGCTAAAAATATTATATGCCAAAGTTATGAAAACGGTGGTATGAGAATGACATGTCTTGATTCATTTTGTAAAAGTTTAAAAATTACATGGATTCGCAGATTGTTTGATAGTTCATGTAAATCAGCCTGGAAAGAATTGCTAAAAGATTTAATTCCTGACATTAAATATTTAGTTATCTATGGTAGGGATTTTTCAAAAAAACTTAAGAAAGATACGGAAAATGTTTTCTGGAATGATGTTTTTTCAGCATTGTTGGATTTGAGATTATGTATTGATGATCAAACATCTATTTTAAGTCCCATATGGTATAATCCATCAATATGTATAAACAACAGAAGTGTTTGTTATAAGTCATGGCTGAGACAAGGTATACAATTTGTTTTTGATTTTTATGATACAAATGGGACTTTGTTAGGATACCAAGACTTTTGTAAACAATATGATTTAAAAACACCTTTTACAATGTTTTTAGGCATAACAAATTGTATTAGAAAATTACAGTTGAATTATGATCATAATATAATTCAAAGAAATCAACCTTTCTTCCCAAAATTCTTACAAACAATATCAAAAAGCAAACAAGGTGCAAGAGATTTCTACGATGTTTTTATTAGTCAGAAATACAAAAAACCAAAAAGTGAAATGAAATGGGAAAACATTTTAGAACTTAATGTTGATGAATTTTGGTGGAAAAAACAAAACATTCTGTTTTTTAACATAACAAATGATATACAGTTAAGATGGTTCCACTATAGAATTGTACATAGAATTTTAGCTACAAATACATATTTACACAAAATTGGTGTTACTGACTCAGATGTATGTAGTTTTTGTAAGAAACACCCAGAGACACTTTGTCATCTTTTTTGGGAATGCGAGTGTGTTGCAGAAATTTGGGAAAATGTACTGGATTGGATGAAAGAACAGTTTGGAGTTGATATATCTCTAAACAAAGTTGATGTTTTGTTGGGAAAACATTATAAATATAACAATATATTTAATTTAGTAGTATGTGTAATAAAAAAGCATATTTATAGAAATAGATGCAAAAAATGTGTACCATCTTTTGAGAGGGTCAAACAAGAGGTTATGTATTATTTTAATTGTGAAAAATATATTTATAAGAAAAATGGGGAAATGGACAGTTTTAAAAAACGATGGAATTTGATAATGTTTTAATATGATAAATATTTTTGAAAAAA